ACATTCTTCTATCATTGCTCCCAAGTAGTTGCATTGTATGTACCTATATTTGATTTTCTTATACTAATCCTTATATAAAATGTGTTTGTTATCTATCAGAATGTGTCAATACATTACCATTTGTGGCCTGACTTCAGGTACTTTATACACTTGGTAACACAAGAAAGTTGAGTTTTTCAAGGGACCGGATGATTTCAAAGGGATATCGGGGATGGAAATCAATGTGAATAAAACAATTTGAGCAACAAGTTAAACTTATTTCTAATGGATAGAATATGGAGAAGGGACATTTTTTTCTTTTTATGTTTGGCGCGGGTCCAAATCTTGATTTACACTGTAACGCCCGTGAACCAAAATGTGTATTTTTGGTTGGTGCATCGATCGACATAGTGTGTTTGCATCGATCGACACATGTGTTTGGACTCGCGAGGAGTCGGGTTCTGGGTGTTGCGTCGACTGACACAAGTGATGTGCGTCGATCGACGCAAGTTGAATGTCGGTTCGATTTTTGATCGCTTGGTTTGGCGTCCGGTTTAGGGAACCCTAGGGCTGCGAATATAAGCGGGGGAGACGCGTTTCTGGGGGGAGTTGTCCGAAATCATAAGAAAGCAGAGAGAAAGTGAGAGGATTGAGAAGAAAAAGGATCATTGTTGATTTCTTTTGTGTTCTTCATCTTATAGGCTTGTGATTGTCTTGTTAGTGGCTATTAGAGCGAGGGAAGAATCTTGCTGGTGAATTTCGGATTTGGGAGAAGGAGATCAGAGGCGGTTGGGTCTGATTTCGTAGTGTTCTTCGTAGTTTCTTTCTCGAAATCAGGTGAGTGCGTTATCGTAGGTTTATCTAGGTAAAGGTTGATTGAATGCGTTTTCTGTGATGTTTCTATGTGGATTTCGTGTTGATTGCGTGCAGGGATTGATGCAATTTGATCCAGGAACAATCCATGAGAGGATATGTTCGATCCTGGCATCTGTGAAAATGCGTCGATCGACACATGAGACAGTGC